TCCGTGGTACCCACAGCTAGCGGGCAGGGGTGGAGAGTGTGTCTGTGGTACCCACAGCTAGCGGGCAGGAGTGGAGAGTGTGTCCGTGGTACCCACAGCCAGCGGGCAGGGGTGGGGAATATGTCCGTGGTACCCACAGCTAGCGGGCAGGGGTGGGGAGTGTGTCCGTGGTACCCACAGCTAGCGGGCAGGGGTGGGGAGTGTGTCCGTGGTACCCACAGCTGGCGGGCAGGGGTGGAGAGCGTGTCCGTGGTACCCACAGCCGGCGGGCAGGGGTGGAGAGCGTGTCTGTGGTACACACAGCCGGTGGGCAGGGGTGGAGAGCATGTCTGCGGTACACACAGCCGGTGGGCAGGGGTGGAGAGTGTGTCCGTGGTACCCACAGCTGACGGGCAGGGGTGGAGAGCGTGTCTGCGGTACCCACAGCTGGTGGGCAGGGGTGGAGAGCGTGTCTGTGGTACCCACAGCTGGTGTGGTGACGGCTCAGACACAGTAACCCCAGTTAAGAGGCACAGATACAGGTAATATGCTGAAGCGGTGGTGATGGAGATGAAGGCCTGGGTGTGCGGGAAACCTCCTCCCCGGCAGACGGACTGAGGGTGCTTTGTGAAGTCCGGGGCGCGGGTCTTTGAGCTGCTTCTTACGTGGGAATACAGGTCTGTGCACGTGTGTCTGCATATGCATCACTTGGTGGTGAAGTCATGTTGCTTACACTTTATTATTGCTGTGATATCAAACAACTCCTTGTCTGATTTCTTTTTGTGACTAACAAATTATTTTGGGGGGGGCGGGTTCTTGTTATATAGCTCAGGCTGGCCTTGAATTCCTGAGTGTCCTGCTTTAGTCTCTCAAATGGTGGGTTTGTAGTCTCAGGCTATGGGCCTAACCTCTTTGCTTTAATTAAATATGAAGGGACTGTTCAGTTTGGGGGATTCTGCAAATGACAAGCCATAAAACAAATTCCCTTCCTGCCCAGATCTGAAATCACACAACTGGTGTGCACAGTGGGGGAATGATCTAAAGTGGCCACCACGGGCTTCCCTTTCTCCAGCTGCATAGGGATTCGGGGTGCAGACCGTGGTCCCCAAGGAGTCTCTGTCGGGTACCCAGATCCTAGGCAGGTTCAAAGGAAGGTGCTAGGGACAATGACTAAGCCAGCTGTGATGTGGAGGTGGTGGGCAGGGGCTCTCCTGCGCCCCCTAGAGGGACAATGAATGGAAAGGCTGACCGACGAGTCCATGGCTAACCCAGACAAGGAACAGAGGCCACAAAGCTCTGAGCTAAACGGCACAGCAGAGATCTGATTTCTCCCTGTTTGGAGGGACGTGTAGGGGCTTGTTTATTTTTTCATGACAACCACCTGTTGTGTAGCTCAGGCTGGCTTTGAACTTGAAATCTTCTAGCTTCAAACTCTGAGGGCTGACGTTAAGGTCCTGACAATCACACACTACCTGGAGCCCCCATTTCTTGTCTGACATGTTTGCTCTCGTTAGCACTACATGTTCCTTTATGTCAACAGATTTTAGTCTTATGATATAAAATGATCCCATATATATATAACAGATTGGAAAAAGTTTCCTCAACTAGACAAGAATGCTCAAGCTGCCATGACATTGAACAGTTAAAAAGGGTCAGATGTTGAGGTACATGCCTATAATACCAGCACTCAGGCAGCAGCAGAAAAAAAAAATCACAATCTTGAGGCAGGCCTGAGCTATACAGAAAGACTGTCTCAAAACCTCCTCCCCACCCCAAATTTAAATGTTATAAATATCTCAAGATAAGGCACGGTTGAGAATTTGAGGCTCTTAGTCAGTGCTCTATTGCTGTGAGGAGACACCATGACCAAGGCAGCTCATAGAATAAAGCATTTAATTGGGGGCTGCCTTACAGTTCAGAGGGTGAGTCTATGATCATCATGGCAGAGAGCGGACAGGCATGGTGCTGGAGCAGTAGCTGAGAGCTTTACATCCTGATCCCCAGGCAGCGGGTGGAGAGAGAGACACTAGGCCTGGCATAGACTTTTTTTTAATTTTTCTTATTTTTTGAGACAGGGTTTCTCTGTGTTCCTCGCTGTACTGGAACTCACTTTGTAGACAAGGCTGGCCTCAAACTCACAGAGATTCACCTGCCTCTGCCTCCCAATTGCTGGGATTAAAGGCATGCGCCACCACTGCCTGGCTTTGGCATAGACTTTTGAAATCTCAAAGCCCACCCCCAGTAACATACCTTCTCCAACAAGACCACACCTCCTAATCCTTCCCAGACAGTTCTACTGACTGGGGACCAAGTGTTCAAACATATGACCTGTGAGGGCTGTTCTCATTCAAATCCCCACAGAGGTATATCCTTATCACAGGGAGGAAAAAGTACCAAATAAGTTTAAGAGATGATGTAAGAGATTTTTACTGTCCCATTTTTTTAAACCTATGAGATCATTAAAAAGTACTAAATATAAATATATAAATTAAAAAGTACTAAACGTGAACAACATAAGCTGACTGAATAGACATGAAGAAACCAAAAGAGAAGAGGTGACATGAAACAAATTGACTATTGAAAATGCAGATTAGAGCCAGGCACACCTTTAATACAAGCCTTTAATCCCAGCACACGGGAGGCAGAGGCAGGCAAATCTCTGAGTTTGAGGCCAGCCTGGACTACAGAGTGAGTTCCAGGACAGACAGGTCTATGTACAGAGATCATGTCTCAGAAACAAAATACAGATTTAGTTATATACAATTCTAATCTGTAATATATATATATGTATATACATACATACATACATATATATACATATACATATATATATATACACACACACATACACACACACACACACACACACACTATAATGTTGGAGGTATGTCCATATAGCTCAGGGTAAAAATGTCTCGTTATTTTTTGTTTTGCTTTGAGATAGGTTCATGATCCTCCTGCCTCAGCTTCCCGAGTGTCACAATTACAGCTGTGTGCCACCACATGTAGCTCAGATGACTGTTATACTTTTCCTTATATTTCCTACATTTTAACAGAAATGATCATTACTATATAATCAGAAATAACTATTTTCAAAAAGGAAAAAGCCACAAATGATCCAAAATATTGTCAACATGAAAAGAATGCTTTATGGGCTGGAGATATGGGTCAGAGGTTAAAAGCACTGACTGCTCTTTGAGAGGTCCTGAGTTCAATTCCCAGCAACCACAGGGTGGCTCACAACCATCTATAATGAGATCTGGCGCCCTCTTCTGGCATTCAGGTACACATGCAGACAGAACATTGTATATATAATAAATAAAACAAATCTAAGAAAAGAAAGGAATGTTTCATAAGCCCCCCCCCTTGCCAAAATACAGCATTCCAGTGGGATTTTGCTTTGTTTATAATATTTTTAAAATGGAGGACAAAAATCTAAAATTAATAATCATCATACATTTTTTTAAGGATCTTGAAGTCAGGGTGTAAATCTAATTTTTAACATGTTCTCCCAAAGGTTTAGAGCACTGTAAAGGTTCAATCCATCCTCGTTAATTGACAAGCACATTTCAGATCCCATGAGTTATTACATCAAAGATACTATTATTTGATATATAAATGCTATTAAGGGTAAAAATCTCATCTACAAAAGAAAATGAGAGCTAGAGAGATTTTAGTGGAAATAATTTAACTGTGAAATTTAATCTGTCACAAGAGCAGTAATAAAACTCCATAACACAGAGGAAAATTTTTCTTCCTGCTCTGGCCAGATGAATTATACCTGGTTTTATTACCTGCATATCCCGTGGTCCCCAGAGCTGTGTGGCATCTGCAGAACTTATGACAGAACTTCATCCAATATCTTAAACTCCTTTGTCATTGCAGACCAGAGATGTGTCCTTGACTATCAGTTACAAACAGTCTCCGTGTCTGCCCTGGAAATTCTCAGCATTATATGTAACTGATGTGCAAAGAGCATACACTTTCCATTCCCTGTTGGAGACTGCTGGGGAGTCCAGCTCTGACCTTTCCCAACTATTGAAGGGTTCTTAGGTGGGGGAGGGACAAGAAAACATCAGATAGAAAGAGCGATGTAGCCAATGAGAAGAAAGACAGAGACACAGGATAGTTTTGGGAGGGCCCGGGTCAATACCCAACAGCTTCAAGGTTTATTCCAAAGGGCTTTTTATACTATGCCAAGGGGAGGGGCAAAAGACCCCCCCCCCCCTTGCAAGATCAAAGCACATCATACAGCTACATGTAGACCCTTCCAAATACTTGGCAACCACGCCTGTGGCCAAATCATCTCCTTATGCAGGCCCTGCTGGGTAAAGCAAGCTCAGATTCTCTGACCCTGAGTAATTTGGGCTCCCACAAATCCCATGCTTCCATCTTTGTTACTGTTATTTGATGGAAACCAGGGTGTTGAGAATGCTAGGCACTCTACCACTGGCCTACCTCCTCATCCTCTCCTTTGATTTCCTCGTCAGCTTTCTCTTTACTTTCTGTTTTGAGAAAGAGCCTGGATTATGTTCAATTCTCCTGCCTCAGCTTCCTGATTGGCTGGGATTAACAGACCTGTGGCATCAGGCCCAGCACTGGCCTCCCCTCCCTCCCTCCCTCCCTCCCTCTCTTCTTTTCTCCTTCTCTCCCTATCCCTTGGTCTCAAGAAGCCCATACTGCCCTCAAACTCATTATGTAGCTGAGAACGACCTTGAACCCTTGACCCTCCTGCTCCTCTCAAGTCCTGGGATTCGAGGTGCACACCACCAAGCCTGGCTTTCAGCCCTGAGACCTTTGCAGGACAGTGGGGGTGGTTGTCTGCAATCAATATAGAAAGTTCTGCCAGATTCATGGACTAGTCTCAACAGAGCGCACACTGACGGGCCAGTGGCCACTACCCTTGATCTCTGAGACCCTGGGTCCCCCTCCTGATGCAAAGGCTTCTCATCTGCTACTTTCAATGGGGTTAGGAAGCTGGCGCCGTTCACATCTCTAACCTTTTCAAGTACAACACTTACCTGGACTAGCAAGTTGCCTGCGTTAGGCAGGCACGCGCCATGTTTCTTTGTGTCCTCACTCATTTGCCGTATCAACTTCGTCAATATTTCCACGGCACCTTTGCTGATCATCTCAGGAAGAAATGCCGGACTCCCGGAAATGAACTTCAGAGCCCCCATGCAGTATAAAAAAGCCTCAGTGTTACTTTGCAAGTCTTCACCCCTCAGCACCTCCAGTAACGATTCTGCCAAAAAGAGGAGTTTCTATAAATGTCCAAGTACAACAGCAAATTTGATGTTGGCACACACTTTGTAAGATATATTCATCGAAAGCTACGTGCAAATGCTCTCTGTTCCTCCTCAAGCAGGGAAGTCTCAGCTACCACAAAACTCCCTAATAGAGATGAGCACAAAAGGAGAGATTGTTCACATGCAAATAAGAACGCCTTCTTTCAGCCGCCATTCCTTGGCTCTTAGGAATATTTACCAGACTTTATTTTTAAGTTACAACAATTTCAAGTTAAATTGTTGAATACTTGTAACAAAGGCCATCTAAGAATTACATTTTCAACAAACATCTTGAAGAATGTATTTGCTGCTCTCCTGTGGGGGACATGGATCACATGGGAACTTTGAAATCAATCTGTTACTGAGAAGGATCTTTTGGACATAGTATTCACCCTTCCCAAGACAGTTTAAGAACACCTCCCTCCCTAAGCAGATTTCCTCGTGGCTTTACCCAGCCAGTCTGCATAAAGGGGGTGATTGGACCACGGGCCTGAGTGCAGGTGTCTGGGATGGTCTGCACTTGGCTGTGCTGGGGGGAGGTCTTTTGCTCCACCCCTTGGCATTTCTATAAATATCCTAGGGCAGAGACAGTCAGGACCCAATGGAATAGGTTCCAGGCCCTCTCGAGGCTATCCTGTATTTTTTATCTGTTTATCTCCACACTTGAAATCCTTCTATCTAATATTTCCTGCTACTCCCACTCAAGAGCACTCAGGGGAAATGTGGGGGGGGGGGTAACCCCCCTGCAAGGTGGTAAACATCTATAACCTCAGTATTAAGGACTCTGAGGCAGGAGGATGGCAGCGAACTTGAGCCCAGCCTGTGCTATGCTTGGAGTGAGACCTTGTCTCTACAAACAAACAAACCCAACAACAAAAACCCACTGACTGGCCCAGATTGCCGATGATTTGAGCGGGTTAGATGGAGACCCCACGTTCAAGTACGAGCATGTCAAAGGGACCGTATGAATCCTTTGTTCTGATCTGTAATTCGCAGATGTTAGACATTCTTTCAGCCTTGGTTTAGTCCCTGTGTGCTGAGATCTTTGTCCCCTGTTACCTATGATTTCCACAGCTGCCTCTTCTGCAGGAACAGCACAGCTCCTAAAAGTTTCCAGCCAGGGTATCTGTCTAGTTAGTTATTTAGGGACATGCTGGGAACTGGGCATTGTTAGCTAGGCTGAGAATGTGGGTGAAGTGTCTGTAGCTCCGTACTGAACCGTGTCCGCGTCGGCATCCCGTAATAGTCACAACTGTCTCTCCGATTCTTTTTTTGTCTATATCAAGGGAACTAGAATTTTTGATTATGTCAAAAACTTTTAGGTGTGTCTATTCTAACAGTAACTCCAGGCCTAGGAAACGTTTTTTTACACAGTGATTCCCTCAAGTCACACAACATCCCTACACGCACTAAAGGAGCAAAACCAAGACCTACTCTGTCATACTCGACTTTCAGCGCTGCTTTACAGCGAACGTGGGAAATGGAGAAAGACAACCGCGACATTTTCCTAGAAACTAGATGCCTCGCTACCCTTCATTGTCCTTTTCCTCTATGGATGGACTCGGCATCTGTCCTCGGGCGCAGCGTCCTGGCTTCTGGAACGCTGACGAGACTCACCCAGGATGTTGTCATTCTGCAGCAGGACGTCATTCTCCTCGCTCCTGCTGATTTTAAATACCAGTTTGCAGACATTCAGAAGATTCTTCCTGCTCACTTTTAGCTGCAGAGAAAGAACATGCTTGCATTTCTACGGCAGAGGTAAAGGCAGGCTCGACACCTCTAAAACCTCAGCACTCAGCCCAGGAAGAGGGCTTCAAACATAAGAAATGTTCCAGCCGGGCGGTGGTGGCGCACACCTTTAATCCCAGCACTCGGGAGGCAGAGCCAGGCGGATCTCTGTGAGTTCGAGGCCAGCCTGGGCTACCAAGTGAGTTCCAGGAGAGGCGCAAAGCGACACAGAGAAACCCTGTCTCAAAAAACCAAAAAAAAAAAAAAAAAAAAAAAAAAAAAGAAATGTTCCAAGGACAAAACCTAGAAAAGTTTGTGTTGTTTTTGGTGTTTTACTCTTTTTGGGGGGGCCCACCACCCAGCTCCCAAATAAATCACATACGGAGGCTTATTCTTAATTGTGAATGTCTAGACTTAGCTTGGCTCATTTCTAGCCAGCTTTTCTTAATTTATCCCATCTACCTTCTGCCCCTGGGCTTTTCCTGTTCTCTTACTTCTGTAAATCTTACTCTTACTCCATGGCTGGCTATGTAGCTGGGTGGCTGGCCCCTGGAGCCCTCCTCCTTCTCTGGCTTCTAGCTCTCGCTCTCTCTCTCTCTCTCTCTCTCTCTCTCTCTCTCTCTCTCTCTTTCTCTCTCTCTTCGCCTTCCTTTCACTCCAGATTTCTCCCTCTGTATATTCTCTCTGCCTGCCAGCCCCGCCTATCCTTTCTCCTGCCTAGCTAGTGGCCGTTCAGCTCTTTATTAGACCATCAGGTGTTTTAGACAGGCACAGTTACACAGCTTCACAGAGTTAAACAAATGCAACATAAGCAAAAGTAACACACCTTAAAATAACATCCTACTACAAGTCTGGACCACATTATGCATCAGCTGTAATATCTAGCTCAGTTCTATAAACACAAACGCTTTAATAAGAAGGGTTTGTTCCTCCCTATGAAATGTTTCACACTGATGTGTAAACTAGTAGATGTTTTTTAAGGAGCGTGCCATTAGATGGAGTAATTGATTTAGAACACAACAGTAAAGGATGATAGACATCAAAGTTCAGAGTAAACTCATTAGGAAAGAATCCACACAAAGGAAACCTGCCCCTCTGTCATTTACAACAAAGAATTCAGACCAATACTTCGGATTAGACTGCGCTGTGCTTATTCGTGGGGCTATTTCTGGAATGCTTTGAGATAGTCATTGTTTGGAGCTGAAATTCCTCTCTAAACCACACAACAATATCTAAGTCAATTCAAAACAAGGCAATAAATGAAGTATGCTTTCTTTTATAAAAATAGGAGCCGGGTGGTGGTGGCGCACGCCTTTAATCCCAGCACTCGGGAGGCAGAGCCAGGCGGATCTCTGTGAGTTCGAGGCCAGCCTGGTCTCCAAAGCGAGTTCCAGGAAAGGCGCAAAGCTACACAGAGAAACCCTGTCTCGAAAAACCAAAAAAAAAAAAAATAAAAAAAAATAAAAATAAAAATAGGGTGTACAGCAGAACCAAGGTCAGCTGCACATTTACCTCTAGTAAAGAATGGTCAGTAATGGGGAATAGTCTAATAAACTGTAGAAGAGCAAAACTATTCAAATTAAGTAAGCACCCTCCAAAAGAATACGACTTGTTTCTTGTTTGTTTTGCTTTGCTGAGGCAGGGTCTCACTGTGTAGGATGGCCTTGAATTTACAAAGATTGACTTGCCCCTGCTTCCTGGGTGCTGGGATTAAAGGTGTATGCCACTGGGCCCACACAACGCTCTTTTCTATTATATTGTTTTATATTTGTTTATTTGTGTGTGTGTGTGTGTGTGTGTGTGTGTGTGTGTGTGTGTGTGTGATAGTGTGTGTATGTGCATGTGATAGTGAATATGTGTGTGATAGTGTGTATGTGTGCGTGTGATTATGGGTGTGTAAAAGCCAGAAGACAACGTGTAAGAATTGGTTCTCTCTTTCTATCATGTGGGTCCTGAGGCTCAAACTCAGGCTTTACAAAGAAAAGCATCTCTAATTTCCGGGTCAGGTGGAAGTACTGTGTGCCCTCTGCAACAGTGAGGAAACCTGTCTGTAGGAATGGGGTCCTCTGAACAAATAAAGACTTCTGTATGAAAATTATGGCACAAGGATTATTATTTTACTATTTAAAAAAGTTATCTAATATTTTTATTGAGTTTGCAGTTAATTTTTTAAAAGGTAATAGAGTATGTGCGAGTTATCTGTTAGATCCACAAATGCCACCGAGCACTTAACTGTTCCTGGTATGAGCTGTTCCCTGGGGGAGACAGAAAGCTGAGCAGGTTGTCTGTGGCTGTTGAGGCAGAGGAGGGAGCAAAGCTGAACCTCTCCACCTACTGCTTCTGCTCCGGGCCTGTGCTCAGTGATCCCAGAACCCTGTGCATCAGGTATCATCCCTGCTCTGCGAGAGAAGGGGCTGGGAACCCACCTGCAGAGCGGTCTCCCACCAAGTGTTCTGTCCCCCCACCCCTCACCTCCCACCCCCAGGACTCCTGTCAGAGCCTGCATCGGAACAACTCCCCAGGGCATTCACAGGACAGAGCAGAGATTTAGAGATTCCTTCCACTCTCAGGAAGAAAAAGGAAACGGATTTAAAAATTAAGACAGCGATTACATCAGCATGGCTTTATAGCCCAGCCAATGTGTGACTGAAGCAAACAGAAAAGCCTTTCCACATTTGGGCAAGGGTGGTGTGCTGGCAGACTACCGGGAGGGAGGCTGAGACCTCTGACCAGCTCGTCCGAGTGTGGTGGGTACCCTGTGTCCTACAGCTGACAAAACGCCCCCGTCAATGAACTGAACACAGCTTGCCCATCCCCCACCTTCCATTCGTAGTGAAAAGCAGCAGAGAACAACAAAATCAAACAACAAAAAACCAAGCAAGTGTCTGCGTTTCCTCAGAACACCAGCAGTGAGGAGTACTGTGCCCAGCACTGCGGAGGCCAGAGGTGCTGGCTGGCTGAGTCCTCCTTAGAGTTCAGTGATGGATCCTGGAGTTTGGCTGCCTTGGTTACGGGTTTTCCCAGGGCTGGGATGAATTCCTGGTGACGCAGGGTTTCCAGGTAGAGTGGTTTTCTTCTTACATTAAAAGTGGTGCTTTGTTTTGTTTGTTCGTTTGTTTTCCAAATCAGAGAAGTTTGAAATCATTCCTGTCCTTCCCCTATATCTAATCACAAATGACACATAGGGCATTTCTTTCTGGTTGTGACCCCTCTGCAAGGGTGCTGGATTTTTACACTCTCAGAATATAGTCGCACAACTACTAAGTATGTTTGTGATCTTTGAACACGCTTAATACAGACTGACATATTTTCATAAGAGTTTTTAAAAACAGGGATTAAAATTGAAATGGCTGTCTGGCAGATCTCTATTGAGCCAAAGAATTCAAGAAATTGAACAACTCGCAGGCTTATTGCATGTTTTTAAGTAAATACTGTTAAATGGTTGAGCTGTAATATCAAACTGGTGGATAGAAAAACAACAGCAAGAAGAAGAAATTCGGTGTAGAACTTTGGGCTCTGGATATCTTTAGCCTTTTGCTCATTTTCCTTCCACAGTTCTTACGATACGGTGTCTTGGGAATTTATATAGACCCGTATCCTAAAGCCTCATAGAAACAGGATCTCCTCTGTGATGTTCTAGGAGATCCAAGCAACCAACCGGAAGTGGGATACCACGGCTTTGACAGTCCCTTCTGACCCGGTGGCTCCAGAGTGAGTAAGGAGGCACCAACACGGCATAGAGGGATGGTTCGGTGGTTAGGAACACTGGCTGCATTTGCGGAGGATCCAGGTTCGGTTCCCAACACCCATAAGATGGCTCACAACCACCTGTAACTCCAGTTCTCGGGAATCCGGTGTCATCTTATGGTCTCCTCGGGCACAAAGCACATAATGGTGTACATACACATGTGCAGGGGAAACACTCATAAACATAAAATAAAATAATTACAACAAAAGGAGGCACCAACTCACATAGCCCCGTATCAGAACTTAACCTCACCTAGATTCTGTGGGACGGGCAGCATTGTTTACCTACTTGAGTTTTACCCACTTAACATCCAGTTCAGAAGGCCTAAGTCAGTTAAACTGTCACACACACACACACACACACACACACACACACACACACACACACACCAATTGATTTGCACAACACCACCAAAAACTGTGGTAATGTTTTCACTGTGGAAAAGGTCAAGTCAGTCCCGGAGTGCTGGCAGCCTGGGTCCTCCCTGGGACAACTCCATCATCGGATCCCTAGAATGGAATTACTCTTTCAAAGGCACATTGCCCTGAGTCACACACCCCGATTTCTAAAAAGAGAATGGATAGTTTATAATGACAGCTAAGTAAAGGTGTAGACTCCACCCAAAATTACACAGAAAATGTGGCTAGAATATTCTGCTTATGAAAGACTTTGTTATCAAAATAAGATGAAATGAACGTGTTCACTGCACTGTTAGGACACGGGGCTTCCCCTCCGTCGTTCAGTCCGATCTCCCATCTTCCCTTGTACCAGTGATGGGGTGGGCATTTACTTTTATAGGGAAATGGAGCTTCATCCATTTGTTGTTGATGCTCTCTTAGAACATTCCAGAATGGCTATGGCTTATCGTTTGGTTCTGACGGTTTACGGCTGTACAACAAAGCTGTCCAGCAGGTTATGTTCTGGGCTGAGTTGCCACAGGCCCTCATTCGGTATCTGCCTTTTCTTCTAACACTTTGCGAAAGCGATCTTTCTGTGACCACAGGCTGCTGGTTTCCTCTTTCACGCTGGCTCACAGAGCACCTGGCCATGGTCTTTATTTCTTAAACCATAAGGCAGAGTTGGGCTCCCAGCAGAAACCACAGGCGAAGACGACAGCCCACACAGTCCCAAACCGTGCTCAATCTAACTGTTTGAGCAACTGGATGTGTTTGATGCCATAAATCTTTCTTCCCTCTCCCTCTCTCGACTTTCCAGTTCTCTCTCTTCCTTTTAAAATAGACTCTAGGCCCAGCCCAGACGCAAACTTGTTGGGATATTCCCTATGTGCTCAGCCTTATCCCTCAGGAAACACTGTCTAGTCCAGTCCTGGGATGCAAGCTTATTGCCTTAATTTCCCCCAGATTCTGAACAGACACATCACATTTTTTCGTCTTTCTGCGATGTGTACAAAGCGTTTGACAAAGCACAGATGGAGGGCAGTCCACTGGAACAAAAGAAAGACAAACTTACTGCCAGGATGAGTTTGGCGAGCTTAAGGCTGAGCGAGTCCGAGCCAGCATCCACCAGTTTATACAAGGTCTTCAGCAGGACGCTTCTTCCCTTAAACTTCCTGCTGAGCATGCGCCCTTCCTCCAACGCGTGATGGAGCTGCGTGCAGGCGGCACACATGGCTTCATTGTCTTCTGTCAGAGCAAAGAGAGCAACCACCACTTACTCATTACGGTTGAGTTTTCAGATACGTCAAACACAAGCAGTGTCGGGAGAAGCCCCCTGGGCATTCCCTAGACATCCTCAAATTCCCAGGTACCAGCCTCCGTTCTCCCATCACCGCCATCTATTATCAAGTAGAATACAATCACGCTTTCATCCCTCCGCTCCACCTCCTAGGTTAACATATTTACTAATCAGTCACTGAGCTCTTCTTGCAAAGCCTCTCCCTTGGCCTCCTGTCCGAGTGCCGTCCATCTGGACTCTGTTCAGTCTCACTGAGGCCCGCCATTTGCACCTCTGCCTCCATTTCTTCAAACAAGTTGCATGACTCGAACCAGTATTACCCTGTAGTGCTATTTATGTTTCACATGTGAATAGCTGTGTTGTGCTACGTACAGACAGATGCTATAAGTGAGTTGGGATCCTGATGGGCACACCCGCGTGGTAGAGCAAGAATACCCCGAATCCACAACTTAACCTCAGGCAGGCTCGCCTTCTAATGTATCTGTTGATGAAAACAATGAATGGTATGTTCCTTTCAAAGTGGCTCCTCTGGGAAAAGAGGCGTAATAACATCCACCATTATTATCGGAGAGGAGACTTTTAAAAAGGTGTTAGTTAGGAACAAGGGAGGCAAGAACATTTTGTTTTAGAGCTGCAATCCCGGGGCCAGTGACTTTTCTTGTGGGGGGTGGGGACAGTGCTGGAAGGGAGCACAAGGGGAAACAAAAGAATTCAAGGTATAGCGTATTCTGTTGGGAAGTATTGCCTCTGACGGACCCCATCACAAAACTTAAAAGTGGGAAGCCGATCTTAAATAAATACCATAATGTGAGCTTAGACACCAACATGGAGGAAGTGTGCGCAGGCAAGGGGAAGTGACTCAGGCCGTTTTTAGCTCTTTTCAACAATAACATCTAAGAAAAAGTTTAAACCTCAATAGCCGAGTGCCCTCCAAAGCCTTTCAGTTGAATAACTGAGCTGGTGGGAAAGGACCTAGACCAGCCTGAGATAGAGAGGGAGACTGAGCTCTGTGTGTGAAGCGTTTCTGTTGTGTTGATTTTTTTCTTCTCAGACTGGCCGTCTCTTCGCTCGTCCAGGCTTTGGGCCGTTCTCAGCTCAAGACTGTTGTAGCTTACAGAGGAATTGGAAACCCAGGCTCAAGGATCAGAGTTTCAACTACTGCTCGAGTAAGCCCTCTCTATCAATCAATTGACTATAATCCTTATAGCACTCCAGAGGCTGAGGCAGGAGGATGGCAAGTTCAAGGCCAGCCTGGGCTAAATATGGAGACTGTTTTAGGAAGCCAGAGCAAAACAAAACAGAAAGGCACATGGCCCCAAAGACTTTCTAAGAGCGAAAGCTAGTTAGGAGTTTCAGATGTAATCTAGGGTTGTATAGTTACCAAGCAACTTTGCCCCTCAAGTCACTCCTTAGCCACAAAGGGAAACCCAGCAGCCACACAGAGCCGGAGCCCGGCAGACACCACCTGACCCAAATGATCAAAATTCACATTTCCAGTGAGGATAGGTCAGCACATGGGCCTCCTGCACACATGAAAGATGCGTCGTAAGTGTGTGGTTATTCCTGCCCCAAAGGTCGGATCTGGGTCTCAGCATGAGAAAACCCGAGGAAAACCTGATGCGCGGGATGTTCTGGATGATAAATGGCCTGTTTTTCTCACTTGTATCAGGATCATGAAAGGGCTGTGGCAGATGATTGAAACTTGTGAATCAGGGGCTTTCTTTTTCTAATAAGGAAATCATAGGGGCAATCAGCAAAATGCAGGCAAGATTTGTGTGGTGTTGTATGGTCTCTTCCAGATGTGGAGGAGAACAAGCTTGCTTCTAAAGCTAACAAACAGAAAAATCACAGGCTGAAGTAGCTAAGAATATAGACTTGGGCTTCTTTGTTTTTATTTTGTTTCATTTTGAGACAAAGTCTCATTGTGTAGTGGAGGCTGACTCTGAAAATGTTAGCAATGTGTTCTCAAAAAGTTCTAGAAACAAAACCAAACAGCGCCGCAGGGGGCAGAGAGAGAGGAACACAGGGAGAGGACGGAGAGCCTATGGGTAGAGCATCAGTACCGGGGAATATGGGAGAAGGGCAAACAGGAGTTTAAAAACTGTCCTATTAACTATTTTAACTAATCTAGTAACTAGCTACTTGACAAATCAAAGGAGCTGCAAGGTGTCAAGGAAACCGGACGCCATGATATTTGCTGGTTTTAAGTTTGTCTAGGGACAAACAGGCGATATTTCTTTGTTTTGCTTGCTGGCTCTGTTTTTGACGCAGGCTCTTGCTGTGGAGCCCAGGTTGGTCTTACACTCACAGCTTCCCAAGTGCAAGGGTTACAGGCCTGGTATCTCACACTCAAACTCTCAGTGATGTCCTAACTTTGCTCTATGTGGTATCTGGTGGGCAGAGTGCTGGGCGTCCACTGAAGACTCTGCCAATGGAAGATCGGCCCTCCGGGCAGGCCGCCAACCTGAAGGCTTCTGATGTGGCTTCTAATCCTTGCCCAGACTCACCTTTCTCACTGGATCTGTACCCATTTGCTGAAGGAATGGCCAAAGTTCACTGTCCAAGCTAATAGGAGGGTGGAAATAGTAACTCCAGGGGAGAAATGTTGTTACATTCGTCTTTCCAGAATTTGGAGCAGCAAAGGGCTTTGGAGGTGATGTGGTTTCACCCATCTTTTAGTATAGAATTTACATGCAGCACCAGGCACCTGGTGTTAGGACCCAGGCCAGAAAGCCTGCCCAGAGGACCCACCCCATGGAGAGCACAGCCTAGCCACAGCACAGAACCAAAACAAACCAAAACAAAACAAAAAACCAAACAACAACAACAACAAAACCAGCAAGTGCTGGCTGCTGGGGAAGCAGGTATTGTGCGCCAGCTCCTGCTCCCAGGTGTAAGGATGCATTTCCCCTGCATCAATGTCTGCCATTGCTGCTCATGCACCGAGAGTAGGCCCTCAATCAGTCCTACTGAGGCCCACTGTGCACACGGTACTAAGCATGGGGCTTGCTCTGTGGCTCTGACCAAGGGTCCAGAGGAGTCTAGTTCACCTTCTCCAGTGGAATTCTGAAGAAGTTGGGGAGCGTCCTCTCGGCAGCTCCCCATGACCTCCCAGGAATTCCTCTTTGTGGCCCTTTGGAGTGCTAGACAGGACACATGCCAGGCCACTTCTTGAGCTATGTGAGTGGCCTCCCTGGCATAGGCATTCAACCTCAGGAGCAGAGAGAATCCACAAAACCATCTCACAGTTCTCGCTGACCAGGCTGTGTGACCCGCTCAGTTCAAGAGATCTGCTTTCCCGGACCTTCTAGAATGTGGACAGTCTCCCTGAAGAGGCTGAAGCGGCCTTTCCTCAAGCAGAGGATGTGCACTAATACGCACTACTGGGGAGTTTTAGAGACTGGCTCTCTCAGGACATTCCAAGTACAATTTTACCCACTAACACTTTGGTTTACATATTATTTACTATACACACTTACAGGGTAAGTAAATACATGACATGTTTCCAACATATCCACAGAAATGATGGTCCAAGTCCACTGAAAATATCAGGGCCATGGGGAACACAGATTAATGCCAAGTTTTTATTTAAAACAAGAAGTGTTGTTTTACCCTTTTCTAATTCATGCAAAAGCGGTTCAATCCGTGTTTTCCAAAAGACTTCATCGACTTCTATTTCTGTCTCCTGTTCCTGTAAGCTGGCTCTTGAGGCTGCAAAGGAATCCGGAGAAGGAAAAAGCATTGTGAAAACGGACTCACAGGGCACACTCAAAAGCCTTTCCCCTGCATGGCTGAAATTAATAAGCAACAGAGTCAAATCTCACTTTGCTCTGAGTCCCAACTCTAATGAGAAACATGGGTCTTTTCATCCAACTACCTCAAATAAAACTCGGATGAGTTAATTCAAAGACAGAATTTACAAGTGGGATTAGAGTGCTTTGAAAAGGCTGCTGTAGGAAAGCAAACTGGTTTCAGTTATTTTTTTTACTTAAACTTTTCCCTCTGTAACATAGAATAGAAAGCTATATACATATATGTGTGTGTGTATGTGTGTATACATACATACATACATACATACATATATAAAGACTAGAAGCTGAAAACACTTCATAAAAATCTTAGCCCTTTCAGGAAGACACTCTACAGGAAGTACCACCAAGGCTATGCTTTCCTGTGGGGGAGGGGAATGTCTTGGTTTCCCCACCCCAAGTCTATTATTGATATGTAGGGTGACCTCTGTCTGTAGCTTAGACCCTCCCAAGCCCGCTTCCTCGTCAGCAAAAAGGAGAGTGTTTGCTTTTAGGATTATGGAAGCTGAATGTTACAACAGAGACAAAGCTCTGCCTGGGGACCACACACAGAGCGACACCGAGGATCTGTGAACCTCTTTTCCCTGACTAAACAAACAGGTCCTCGCTGATGTGTGTCACCACCATACCACCAAGTGCTGCACCAACTCTAGAGGGCTGTGGCTGCTGCCAGTGGCTGCATCCAAGACGCAGAAGAGAGACTATTACGGAGAGCGGTTTTCTTTCTTCCTTTCCTCCTCTCTCCCTCCCCCGCCCCCCAAACAAGGTCTCACTCTGTCCTGGAACTCACTCTGTAGCCCGAGCTAGCCTTGAACCCACAGTGATTCTCCTGCCTCGGCCTCCCAGGATTACAGGTGTGAGCTGGCACACCCAACTGATGTTCCTGTTCTGTTGTTTGGCTTCTGAAGATGGAGAACGTGGAATCCAGGTAGAAGCCAGGGTTATTGAATTATTCCCCTAAGGTCACAGGACTGCACTGCCGCACCCTTCAGTCTCATGGCAAGCCGGCAGACTGAAAGGCAACAGTGGATGAACTAGAATTCATAGAGGAAGTGGCGAATCACGATTCCACCTTGCGTAGGCAGTATCTCAGATCACCAACTGGAGCTGGAGTGGGCACTGCCACATGGGGGCCTTCCTCAGCCTCCCCCCTCTAGTGTCTGCCTCCTGCACCCCTAACCTGGCGCCAGAAAAATGTGCATGACATGTTGGAGATCAGAGGAGCAATCAGAAGATTCTATACGCACAACCATCTTTATTTATTTATGTTGTTTATAATTCCTGACTTATTCATTGTGTCTTCTTCTGGACTCTAGCACTTGCATGTATATACCGAGATGCAGTTACATACATATATACATAATTAAAAATAAGGTTTTTTTAAAATCTTCTTAACTCTTCCCAACTGTCTGTATGAAGTGAAGAGAACTATGTGTATAACGCACAATGGTATGTGTTTAAAATTTAATTTGAATTCAGTGATGTCTGAAATGACTCTTCAAGGCACCAAATAGGAAATTTTCCCCCACACAGCACTGATGTCTCCCAGGAGAAGCCGGGAAGCTGTATAATTAACACCTGCCTCCCCTTGCTCAGGCCCCACCTCTGCATTGTGGGAATGTCTACTCCCTGCTGCAAGTGTAGGTTACCTTTATCAAACCTTGCTGGGGCCAAGGAAGGCTGAGCATGGGAAAGCCCCGAGCACCAAAGCAAATGGAATTCTTGACAACTGAACTATGGTTAAATGGTAAAGATACAATGAAGTCGAAACAGGAAGACTTTGGCTAATCTATCCAACCCAAAAGCAAGACTTCGTTGTCTTTAGGGGCCAGGTGTGGGGCAGGATTCAGAAATGCCCGGACTTCTGAAAGGAAGCAGTGTTTACAACAGGTCTTTCTTGAGCAGCACCCTACAGCACAATCCATGAACACTCACGCTAACAGGACCAACACCATGACTCTGGTCACATCTGATGTCACTGTGTTTGAGAGATATTTGAACTTTGAGAACATTGAAGTTGGCAGAAAGGCAGATAAAAGGCTGTAGACTATCACCTTAGCCTTTTGGATTTTTGAGTATGCCTGGATAAAACATGTATATGATTCTGAAAGTAAATATGAATATTCAAGCAGTATAAAAATACAGCTGCTCATATTTCTAGGTAACTAACCTATTTAAAGGCCAAAGTATGCAAACAAAATCGACATGTATGAAGGCAAATGACAAGCCAGAAGTTGATAAGTCAATAATAATAAATTTCCTTGACATATTTATGAAACACTTAAATTTACTAGAAAGTGGGCTGGGGAGATGGCTTGGTGGGTAAAGAACCTGCTGTTGCCAGTTTGAGGATCTGAGTTCGGATCCCCAGGACTCATATCAGAAGCCAGGCATGGTGTTATACACCTGTCACCCCAGAAGAGGGGAGCAGACAGGCAGTTCCTGGGAGCTCACTGGTCAGTTCAGTGTAGCTGAACCGGTGAGCTCCAGGTACAGGGTGAGAAACTCTGCCTCAAAAAATAAGGTGCAGGGTGACAGAAAAAGACACCAACACTGACTGTGACATTATGGGAGCATGGACCTACTCCCACACACCAAAAAACAAAGGGACTAGAAATTCAGACTTTCAGTCTGTATGGTCTTCACAAACAAAGACCCGACAAGCAAACCCATGAAGTGTGCTCTGCAGTGTGAGGCTGCCTGCAAGAAAGCACAGCTAGAACTTGTGCCTCGGAAGAGTGAATCCGTCAACATTCACCCAGGAAGAGACGCTTATCAAGGTGAGTCAGAATCACGGAAGTTTAGCTGCCTCCTCGGGACCCTTCTGAGACCTTTCAGACACGTTTTGAGAAGTTAGCTACACACCATGGTATCAGGATTTCTTCTCGGTCTTCTCTCAGGAATCCCCATTTATGTGGTTGTGTCTGGCTATGTGTGGCTTGTCATTTCTTTGTCCCCATGCTGTCTTTGGTGCCCCACCACCTCCCTTCCATACACTGTTCCCAGTTAATTCTAGAAACAGAAGTGTGTGCACGCACACATACACGTGCATGCACACACACACACACACACACACACACACACACACACACACACATGTGCACACACACTCCTTGTCTCAGTCTTGGGGAACAACATGAAAACTGAAAAAGCACTTTCATCTAGGTTCACAGTTTGCTAAATATAAAAATTACGATTCAACAGGAAATTGGGTAAGTTAGGCAGAAGTACGGCCTGTTTTTGAAGATTCTGCTGCCTCAGTGGTTACGGTTGTTAACCACAGCTTTGGGTTTTGGACACAACAGCTTGACACAATGTTAGGATTGGCTGATGTTTTTAGCATGCAAATGTAAAAGGCCTTGGCAACAGGGCTGTCTTGGGAATCGGAAGGACTTGATTCTTCTGAGCTCTAGACCCATTCCCTGTGAGCACGGAGAGCCTCCTTCCTGACAAGAAGCTAGTTAGAAGAGACACTTTTCACCAGTGCTAGCTTGAGGCCATTTATCATCATTTTTATTTTTGTTGAGACACGGTCTTACTGTGTAGCTCAATCCAGCCTGCAATTCATAATCCTGCCTCTGCTTCAAAAATGTCCAGATTGTAGATGTCTACTCATCCAGCCTGACATAAACTTTCATGTGAACAAAAAAATAAAGTAGCAAACACGTGTGCAGCCCTGCCCAGCTCAGTCCAGCACTGACACTGTGCTACATTTGTATCTTTCTCTTTATATAAAGACAACAACCTTGCCACACTTTAGCCTTCTTTATGCCTACCCTGTCCAAGTCCTTCCCCTTGGGGGTCACCAACTTCAAAATGGGGGTGACAAACATTGTCTTTCCAGATGCGGTACTGAGATCCCTAACTTAACGTTTCATCTGCTGCTTGTATTGACTCCAGTCCATGTTACAAATGCCCGCTGGTTCACTTGTCTCACTGCCACATTTTGTACCATTTCTAGCCCTTGGTCTGTAATATTGTCTATTTTCTTGGGCAGAATAAAGCTCCCAAAGGGCTTTCATAATAAAATGTTATAGTTTCATTTAAGTGGGCAATGCTTTTGAACTTGAGCTGAGAACTACACGGAGGTCAAGTTTGGCCAGCCTCCAGATGTCTTTACTCTGTGTTGTCTGTGAGCATCTGTCCACACTGAAGGCATCAGGCTTGGGTACTGGTAAGACTGAAGTGAAATAATGAAAACTTAGGACATAAATGTTGGTTTCTGAGCAAGCTGGTTCTAGTTTCTGAAGTTGATGAACAGAGAAGTGTTAATCAGGATGCCGTGTGGCACTCTAGACACTCCCTGACTCAGCCTCTGACTTCCACCTGACATTTGTCTTTGAAAAACAAGTCCCATCGACTTAACCACATGGAGATGCTAAGGGTGAAGGATGCTAAGGGTGAAGGATGCAGAGGGTGAAGGATGCAGAGGGTGAAGGATGCTGAGGGTGAAGGATCCTGAGGGTGAAGCATGCTGAGGACCAAAAACACAATTACCTCACCTGCTCTGGTTTCCAGCCTGCTCAGGTCTGAGCTGCTAGGACATGAGGAGGCCCGGGCAGGCCGCTTCCCCTGGTCCCTAGGAGGAAGAGGAATGAATGAAACAGAAATGTATTTTCATTTTTATAAACTGCAGTTTGTTCTTGTAGGGCTTCAGAAGAAACCACAGAGAATAGTTTAAGAGACAGTGTTCAGTTGTCTGCTTCAATCTACCTCGCCTTCTAACTAACATTATCTGCAAGAACACAGGTCTATTGGCTTAACAGTATGAAATATAACACTAGAAAGAACCAAAAAAATAAATCCCAAGTTGACTGGGGGGAAAAAAAATGGTTAAGGATATGGACCACAAGAGGTCGCTGTTATAACAAGAAACAAGAGTTGGAAAACAGCGAAGCCAGCCCAATGTGGCCAAGGTCACACAGCAGGGTCGGCTCTGGAATGCAGAGCTCCTGATTTTCAAGGCACTGTTCTTCCCGCTGCCTCACGGTATGTCCCATTCCCACTTTAAAACTCAATTCAATCAATATTCTCTAAAAATATTCATAGAAATATTTTAAATGTTAAAAAAAAAAAAAAGTCAGGAAGTGTATTTTGGCAAGCCCCAGATGAGCAGCACTTTGTGTTCCAAATAAGGGTGGGCGTGGCTAGTCACGGAGGTGCTCGACTTTGTGCGCTGTTGCCCGGCTGCAGCTTTGCTCAACTACAGCTGACCTGAGGGTGTTATCATCGTTTCAGTGTCTGTGGGAGGGGGCGAGAGAGGATGATGGGGGTGACATGACAAAAATACGCCAGAGGCAGGTGTGACAATGCCACGGGACCCTTTATTATCTATAATTAATATCTGCAAATAAAGACGGGGCTGGTGAGACGGCTCAAAGGGGAAAGGGTCGGTTCCCAGAACCCATATAAAGGCGGGAGGAAAGAACCAACTCCACAGTTTATCCTCCGGCCTCCGCATGCGTGCTGTGGTCCATGCTCACACCCATCATAATACACAAAAATCTTAAAATTAAAAACAAAACAAAAAAAAAACACATACACAAAAAAAACTTCAATGGGATGGAAAGCCAAGGAACTGACTGGATTTTTCATTTCTAGCTATAACCTGAAATTTTAAGATGAAGAGTTTCACATATATGGTGTGTGTGTGTGTGTGTGTGTGTGTGTGTGTGTGTGTGTGTGTGTGTGTGTTCTGAACAAACACTGAAATTATCAGGACAGTTTTCAGCTCACAGCACTGCCCCCAGTACCTGCCCGCGCTCTCCGAGTCCTGGCCAGGGGTGAGGTCGGCTCCACGATGCCTCATGTGAGCAGCGGCACTTCTAGAAAAGAAACGCATGGGAAGGGTGCTCAGTATGCACACAGGCTTGGAAGTGCTGCCCCCCAGTTCCCAAGAAGAGACAGGCTTGCGACTCACTGCCACCACACAGGGTCCTCACAGCGGGTGGACGCTGAGTGTAGGGACGCCTCCACCAGCCTGGGTTCGTATCCTAGGCCAACATTCACAGCCTTGTGACCCTGGAAACCTACATGGCTTTGGGTTCCCCATCCTTAAACAAAGGCAATACTTCTGCTCAGGATGTCAGCTGGCACACTGAAGGAACTTAGCCAGTTGTCAGTACTATTTTTGTTCCCCTTTGAGTCCATAAGCACCTGGAGGAAGAATCAGTGCTGGATATGGGTACGGAAGATATTTCCTCTGAAGAAGCTAAAACCTACCTTACTGGAATAGTCCAAAAGAACTAGGAATGCTGAGGAGAAATGACTGTGTGTGTGTGTGGGAGGGTAAACTGAGGAGTGCCTTGAACTAGAAACTGACAACTCCGTCACTCAGCAAGTAGCCTGACTGAAGAGAAGAGGGTCACAAGAGCCTGAGGGTCACTTGAGGCGGGGGCTAGCTGCCAGCACGGGACTAGCGAGGTAGGTATAGAGAGTTTCTGCTGGGAAGACTGGGAAGATCTGCCCGGAGCTTTGGGACTTGCTGTGGACACTAAGTGACAGCCAATAAGAAACTTAGAGCTTCTCATACGAGGATGTGATACTGTAATTTGGGGGGGATGAAGACAGAGCACTGAGGAGGAGGAATGAGGGATCATGTTTCCGGGATCATAGGGGGACTAGAAAGATGATGTGCGATTCCATAAATGAAAAGTTAACAGGACACGGGCCGATTCCAGGCATCTGAAAGACAAAATTATAGACCCGGAGGACCCGGACAGCAGGTGCCTCCCAAGGCAGCAGCAGAGGATAAGGAGGACAGTTTATGGGGTCAAGTAAGCATGGGTTTTTGTCTTGTTGAATTTCTGACGCTGGGTGGGACAAAGGTATGGAAATCAGAACAGGCCCAAAGTGGTACACAGGACAAGAGTCACAGGAGGGTAGCTCTGAGCCCGACACCCCGGGCCTCCAGGATGTTTGTGTGCAAGGACAAAGACATCAAAGAGGAGGGAAGAAATGCACCTTCCTGTAGTGGGCACATGCCTGGAAAGGGGACCCGATGGAGGATGGGGTCACAATGGCTGGGGACCAAGGAAAGAGGTCCTGTCTGGCCAAGGCCAAGCCAGCTGTGTGTCCACAGAGCGGTGCAGCTAGAGTCCTGCCAGGCATAAGCATGAAAGACGGGACCAAGAGAAAACCAGAGCTGCATGGGCTGGGTGGCTCTGGAGGTGGTGACAGGCGCACTTGTGAGTTCAAGGTGAGCTATGTTTACTATCTCACAGAGAGAAAAAGAGGGTGGGAAGGAAAACCCCTCCTTCACTGGAGAGGAAGAGGAGTAGACGAGCTTGTGTGCTCCATGGAACTTGCACAGCTGACTGAAAGCACATAAAACAAACTTGTGTCTTCCCCTCCCCCAGAAACCCTCTAAATACTTTAAATATTTGGAGATGCTGCCCTCATCTCTCCACACTGTCTCCCGTGGCTCACACCCCCTTGACAGCTGTGTGTGTATTAAACAAGTAAATTTTTACTACAAGGAGGTTTCCTCATCTCTACAGAAGGGTGGGGAGGCTGCTGGAAGGACAGAACGATCTGGAACATGGAGTTCATCAATATGTGACTGCTAATATGCTCACTCTTCAGTCCTAAGCCCTTCAAATGCTTGCTCCCCACAGGGTATGTCTTCACACCTTTGCTGGCCCTTCTGCTTACAGTCTGTCTGTTTATGTCCCTTTAAAAAGGACCCTAGCTCTGAGTTCACACTGCGGCCAGGGAAGGAGTAGATATTTATGTTACATACTCTCAGTCACAGATAGCCCAGCTGCTGTCGAGTGACCCTAGCCACAGATAGTATGCAAACGCAAGAGTCCATCCAGCTTCCAACAAACCTCACCCTCAAAATGATGCAGCCTGATACCACAGTAGCAGTTTTGATGGTCACGTCCCAGGATTAGATTAGTCAATTTCTTTTCTTACATGTGCAGCTAAGGCAGATGTCCCCATGCAGTTCAGACCTTTGTGCATTATTAAATTCCAGTATTGTATTGGCAGTGATTTCCTGCCTATCAGATGTATTTAGGTCCCGATTCAGTCATCCAGAATAACTGTTCTTCCCAGCTTCCTGCTCCATGTTATTAAACAGCATTATTAAATTTTTCACAATGATTTTTTTTTGATGTGCCCAAATAAAACAATTCTGGAAATTAGTCATTGGACTCTTCTATAACATTCTTTTTAGAGGAAGAAAACCACCATTTCATTAGTTAGGACATCAGTCTACAAATGGAAATCTACTTCTCAAAGACTTAAAATAAACATCAGTGGCATTTACTGGCTCCTACAACCTGGAAGGGACTTGGTAGTGTGGGGCTTTAGGAAGGCTTGATCAGGCTTTGGCTTTACATCTCCGCCATGTTCTAAGCTCTGTGCTGGCTGTAGGTTGAAGTGAGAAGTGAGAAGAAAATTTCAGTATGGTTTTTCCGGGGCCTCTCCTCCGCAACCCTCGTGTTTCAGGAGGCAGAGTCTTCTGGCCCCCGTCATTGACAAGGGTCTTACATTTCACTTGAAATATTAGAAGCAACATTTCTGTAGCAGACAGTGCCATACAAAGCTGCCGGCATCCCTGCAGCCCATCCGTGAACGGCACAATCAATCATCCCGACCGCATCCACCGCTGGACCATAAATACCCCAGGAAATAAAATAATAGCTCTTTAAAATATTTCAAATATATAGATTTTGCTATAATTCAAGACAGTTCTTCTAGTTATTATGATGACAGTTCTTCAATTAAGGATCAGCAAATGTTTTCTTAAAGAGCCAGTAGTATTTTATATATTTTACAATGTGGGGGCAGTGGCAAAGTCAATTATATATATATATATATATGTAACTATTTAAAATGTAATGCCTTTTAAATATTTAAACTATTTTTAGCTCAAGGACTGTAAAATATAACTTAAAGCCTATAGACAAACAGATTTGGCTCCTTGGCTATAACACTAATAAAATAATATGGGTAATAATAACTAGTTAGATTTGGTTGTTACTGTTTTTGTTTTGTTTTGTTTATCAAGATAGGGCTTCTCATTGTAGCCATGGCTGTCCTGGAACTCACTCTATAGACCAGGCTGGTCTCGAACTCAGAGATCCTTCTGCCTCTGCCTCTCAAGTGCTGGGATTAAAGGCGTGTGCCACCACTGCCAAGCTACTAAGTAGATTTGGAATTAAGAAAAAAAAATCCATTTTGGGAAAAGTTACATCTATAGAAAGTTGCTGGAGCCCACCGAGGTTTCTTAGTGGCTTTACCCAGCAGGACTGCATAAGAGGATGATTGGACCATGCGCCTGAGTGCAGGTGTTTGGAAGGGTCTACACTTGACACTTGACTTTAACTAGCGAGGGGGAGGTCCTTTGCCGCCCCCCCCCATTGTTATAAAAAGTCCTTTTGCATAAAGTTCTTTATGGATCCTGGATCCTAAAGTTCCAAGTGAGCCCATGCTAGGAAGGGACCTACAGGAGATGGGGATTCTCTTCAAAAACACGTTTCCTCTTTCTCCCTCACTCTAGTCTCCCCACCCATTCTCTCAGCTTCAGCCTTTCCTATTTCTTTCTGTATGATTTCCTCTGGCCTGGCCACCACGTCTCACGTTTCTAGCGTCTTTTCTTCTAATGTTTAAGTCTCTGTCACGGCTTTCCTCTCCCTGTGCATACATTTCTCTTCCATTTATTTTTCTTTCTTTTCTTTTTTTTTTTCCTGGTTTTTTGAGACAGGGTTTCTCTGTGTAGTTTTGGTGCCTGTCCTGGATCTCGCTCTGTAGACCAGGCTGGCCTCGAATTCACAGAGATCCACCTGGCTCTGCCTCCTGGGGGTGCTGAGATTAAAGGCGTGCGCCACCACCGCCCAGCCCTTTCCTCCATTTCTTTTTGAGTATTACAGTTGTTTTTGTTTTTGTTTTGAGGGCTTAGAATCTCCAATTTGAATTTCTGCAACCCACAGAGCTCCACCCCCTTCCTAAAGAGAGAATGATCAAGCCATCCAGGCTTCCTGTGAGATAAGGAAGAACACTTGAAACTCCAGGGTGCCTTTCTTCTGCCATGCATTTGCTTCCTCTGTCTTTGCTCTGTTCCGGACGAAGCTTGAGTCCTGGGAGACTTCTTATCCTTATATTATTTGTCTTTACTTGCCGAGGCCGACTGTGATCCAGAGAGGGTGAGAACTGAAACACTGAACAGTGAGCTGGTCCGTCCATGACTTTGTAGACTTAGGAAGGTGTGTTCCCCTGGCGTGTGGAGAGCAACCACTGACACACACAAAAGCCCTCTGACATGACAGACAGCACCCTTAAATTCTAATTTGTTGAACCTCTTTCTCCTCCATGACCCCCCACTCCCTCTCCCCGCCCCACTCTGCTCACAGGCAATAAAAAGAACGTCACTCACTCTGTGATCCACGCCACCCTCCTGTCACTTCATGATCTGCATCTTTAATGGACTCTCCGGTGGGGGCCTTTTCACTTCTCTTGAGGCCTGCCCACATCCTTAAATCTCATCTCTCCCATCACAAGCAGCCCAGTGAAGAAACTCACATCTAACGGACCTTTCTCAAAGTCTGAGGAGGTGTGCCGCAACCAACCCTCAAGCTTTTTGTTTTCACCTAGATTTCATAGAGGCTGGAAAGTTACCTAGACTTTTGGAGTGTAACGTTCCAGGGAAAAACCTAATCTGAGGTACACAAACTGCCCCCGACCCAGACTCAGGAAAAGAAAGAAGGTAAAGGAGAGAATAGAACAGCTTGGCTGGGAAAACGGAGCTATCTGTCGGGCAGAGCTGGGTCTAGGAGTTTAACAATCGTCACTGGATTTGACTGTGGTCTCCATCCTCGGCTTTGTCTGTTTACAAAGGACTTCCCTTTCCCCAGGCAGCGAAAGGGTCATCCTAAGCTGTAGGAGCTTCCCAACCTGAGAGCCTGGAGAGCCTCAGTGTTGACCAGGGAGTCGGGACAGCCCGGATTCCTTAGACTGTGTGCTCATCTCTGAATGGGCTGTGATAGCTGGGCCCTGGGGACTCTGCTAGCCGGCCCTGAGAAGGCAGGTCAGAGAGGACCTGGCAGCCTGCACCCACACAAAGCCTGAGCATTGACTATACACAAAGTGAGGGGACTTGCTCTCCGTAGGGAACTAAAGTCCATGTTTAATAGTTCAGGGTTGGGGCTATTATTTCTTTCCGTTTCTTTGACATTTTAAATACTTGCTGGTTTTATTATTTTTTTTCTGCATGCTTTTGCTACTTAACCAGGAGCCTTTCCTTCCCTCCCTCCCTCCCTCCTTCCTTCCTTCCCTCCCTCCCTCCTTCCTTCCTTCCCTCCCTCCTTCTTTCCTTTTATTGCTTTCTTTCTCTTTTCCTTCCTTCTTTCTTTCTTTCTCCCTTGCACTGTTTTTTGAGACAGGGTTTTATATAGCCCAGGATGACCTCCCACTTGACATACAAGGGAGAGTAGCCCTGATCCTGGGCCTCCTGCCTCCACTTCCCTAAGAACAGGCTACGCTACCACACAGGCTCTTCGGCTTTACTGCAACCACACTTGGCATCTTACAAGCAAGGTTTTCAAGCCTTAGTGGCCATTCCACAGCCTCCATGGGGGCTTGCAGAAAAGGGAGAAGAGGGGCGGTCATTTCTATCTTAAAACTACAAAACAGAGAGAGCCCTTGGGAGTGTTCAGTGACTTGACAGGAATATACAGCTAAATCAAGTCACACAGAGACCCTGGACCCTGACCCCAGAGAGCCTGGCTCCCTCCCAGTGAGCAGTCTACACTGTTGATGATCATCCACTACCCGGGGTGCAGCTGCCCTCCAGAGCCCTCATTCCCAAACCATGACACTGACCAACACTGCAGAGCCTTAAAGCACTTAACATTTGCACACAGGGGTCGGTGACTGACCCCACAGGTGGGTGGGTGCATGGATGGATGGGCAGAGACAGACTATTACAGAATGCCAGCTCTGTTGTTTTCAACCCTGAGGTGACAGAGATAATGGGGTGTGGGTGAGGAACGGCCTTCTAAAGCTCCAGTGACTTTCTAATGGCACGTGGAGACTGCAGTGACCGGGCCACAGACGCACAGGGGAGGCTTCCACCGTGCTCGGGAGCGGCTTCTCTTTCAGAGTTCCGTCATCTCACTTCGGATGCTACCTTGCTTAGCAAATATTTTTTTTTCCACTGTAAGTATAAAGTTAAACTCCAGGGCATCCCAAAGGTCTGAATTATCCATATTTTAAATTAAAGGTGCACAAATCAATGCAAGTGTGCTGAAATAAACTGATTTTTCCCTCTCTTGAGCCAGAGGAGCCTGGGGGACCCCGAGTGGGGAGCCAGCGAGTCCTCCTTGCTGTTTCTTCCATCAGCTCACACTCCTCCTCGGCCCACACTCATCTCCATCCTCCCCACTTCCCCCTCCTCACCCACTCCTCAACCCACTCTCACCCCCACCCCCACCCCTCAGCCCACTCTCATGCCCACCCCCACCCCTCAGCCCACTCTCATCCTTACCCCCTTGTCTACCATCTCCTGCCAGCTCATCTCACTGACAAGAATCTTCATTTTTCCACTTTACAGTCTCAGGATTAGAATAAAAAACAAAACAAAACTTTGCTAATTGAGGGGAGGATGCACCCAGCAAAAGTGGGAATACTCCACGTCTTAGCGAAGGCCATTTCTTGGAATTACAGTCACTTAAATGTTTACAAGAAACAATTATTGAGTGTCCCCAACTGATCCACGCATGTAATTAATGAGAGAATTACTAAGAGTTTCCATTTTCTCCTTTGTTTTAGCCCCACCACATAAACTTTTCTGTTGGCGTTGCTTCAGAAAATTCCACCCAGTGCTGGAAGGAGGTAGAGACTGATTGGGAGGACAGAAACACTGTGAGGGCAAACTCCAAACTCCAACAACCATCCCATGAGACAAACAGAAAATACTTAGAGATGCTGCCTGCCAGCGCCTGGGCATTTTGAACAGGCAGGAGGAGGCGCCTGCCCAACCCTAATGGGTTTGTCCTTAGCTGTTTGTGGGGGAAAGCATGTCACTAAAAATGCCCCCTGCTGTCCCAGAAAGACCGAGGCATAATGAACCCTGGTGTGTCCGATTGTTTCACAGCATCTGAAGTTTCATGGAAATAAATAAACAAATGACTCCACTCTTGTCTGCCTGTATCTAGTCAATTTGCATTACTGTAGGGTTGGATGCTGCAGGGTAAATGCTCTTTTCCTGTGGGGCACAAGCCATGCTGCTTTTCCTGCTGGGGTGATGAGTTCCACAGCCTGCGTGGCACTCACCATCTGGAAAAGAGCTGCCTGGGAGGGCCTGCTTGATGCCTTGTGTTCGGCTCCCAGAGTCCTAATGTGAAGAAGCCCTCTTCCACTTAAGGAGATATGTCATCTCTTCCTTAATTTGAAAAATGTTCTGAATGCAAAGCGACATCACAAGGACTTCTAGGTTGCCTAATGTAAACTCTCTGTGTGACACTCTTTAGGCTGTGTCAGCAGACAAGGTCAGCTCAGCTAAACTAACAAGCTGCCAGTGGCCACTTCGGGGGTGGAGGTGGGGCGGGTGGAGAGCCAACATCAGATCCAAAATCTAAAATGAGAGCATCAAGGACTCGGGGCCGAAAATGGCCTGTGGAATTTAATCTTGTTAAACAAATTTGAACCGGGCATTTGTCCATGATGACCCAATGGAAAGTTCTAGAAAAAAAGGGAGAGATCTTTAACTGAATGACCTTGCTTATCTTTAGCACCAGTACTGGCCAAGAGTGGGGCCTGGGCCTGTCCTCTGTTCTGTCTGCTGCTCCGACCTCGAGATGTAAGGTTTTAGTAAATCACCATGGTAGGAATGAACATGACGCTTACACAATGCTTCTTTCTCCACTGACTCTCAGTGTGGTAGGAAAGGGCTTCTGGGAAGCCCTATCTAAGAATGATACATAAAATAAACGAATTCCCCACCATTCAGGTATGAGGGTCAAACCAATCCCATGGGGTGTTCCTGTGTTAGCCACTAGTTAGCACAATGAATATGTAAAGCAAGTTCCTACTGGAGAATAACACCAGGGTCCCCTCTTGTGGCTTTTACAACACTGGACTAAAGCAAGAATCCCAGATAATACAGAAACAGAAGCCGTACTCATCTGTCTCGCAGGGCCTAGCCGACACCGTCCAGCTTCCCCTTTATCCGACAGCCCCACGGTGCATCATTTTGGCCGTTGTGCGTAGCAGGATTTCAAAGGATGAAGTAGGGAATACTGGAAACCCAACCCTATTCAACCTCAAGGAGGAAAAAAAACCTTTCCTATCATGCATTAACTAAAAAACATGCTTATACAAGAGGGAGAGAACAAATTGATCTTCTACATAAGACAGAGAACCGCTGAATGACAACAGTTACCCTCACCCAAAAATCCACGATGAAGAATACTGACCCTCCACTCTGGAGATGAGATGATGGTTCCTTGGACACTTCTTTGGTTTCTCTGAAGCCTTGGTCGTAAGTACGTTGGAGTGGGTGACTCTTTAAATGACCAATGGCATTTGATGCTGTTAAATAAGTCCCATTTATTTTTGCCGTAGAATTCCCCACGGGAACAGTCTCTTTGGATTCCTCCGTGGTCTTTGCTGCAACGGCAAGGAAATGTTCTCTCAGCACATTTCTTACTTCAGGGGTTGCTGCCTTTCAATGCTTTGTTTGTAGTCTACGGATTTATGGAAAAGTTACCCATGGCTTGTAATCAAGTTTGGAGTTTTTATGGTCAAAACCTCTCTGAACACAATAAAACTCTCCTACAATTTTAGGCTTGGCACCATCATTTCTGGGGATAAATAAAATGAATGGGACATTAACTCTATTGGCTCGACGTCTACCTGAAGGGAAACACAGGCACTTAAGGTTATGAACTACCTATCCCACTAAGTACTCCTACGCCCCCGAAGAATAATTCTTCCTAAACACAATGTTAGCATTTTTCCACTTAAAAATAACTTATGGCTGAATGTGATGGCAGACATCTGTAATCCCAGCCAATTGGGAGGTAGAGGGGAGAAGTTAAGGAGCCCAGAGTTAGCCTTTACTATAGAACAAGTTCTAGGTTTCCAAGAGATTTAGTGTCAAAAAACCAAAATACAGCCAGAGCTGTTACAGAGAAACCCTACCTCGAACAGCCAAAAGAAACAAAAACAAAAAACAATAAAAAAAAACCATTAATATAATTAATAGAGTATCAAGTACAAGTGCTACATCAGTGACAAAGAGATTTCCTTATTCATAGGACTTACATGGGTCTTTTAATAAATAGTATACAGTAACAAAGCACACAATGTGTTTTTGATAAGGGCAAACAGAAGAAAAAGCAGAAGAAAAATGGAGAAGAATGAAGGGGACTGGGAGGGAGACAGAAAGCAATTTTAACGAGGGGTGGAGGGTGTTAGGGTAAGGAAGGTGAGCCCTTGGAACCTCGAGAGGCTGATGATGTTTGGAGCAAGGTGGCCAGCTTGTGCAGGGGCTCTGAGGCAGGAGTGTGCCCAGGGTGGTGGAAGAGGAACTACGGAGAGGCCCTGGAGGAAGAGGGCCGGTTCCAGGTCCCAGGGCAGTAACAATGTGATCCCCTAAGAAGACTTCCTAAAGAGGGGCAGGCAGGCTCCAAGAACACAGCCCACCTCCAAGACGGATGCACCTGAGTTTCGGGACACAGGTTCTTACCCTGAAAATAGAGCTTTCCTGTCAGCAAAGGGACATGAGGAATAGCTTGTCATCCACCTGCCGCTGGCCTAGTCTCTGTCGAAAGGGAGGAGGGGATAGATCTCCCTGGCGTAGGTGGAGGTGGGGATGGAGTGAGCTTCCCGTAGGAAAATACTTGAAAGTTTTTCCATCCTTATTCAGAAACCAGCCAACAGATGGAAGCCAGTAACAACAAAGCCCCTCCGCCTGCCCTGCTTTCAAACACCACACTGGGAGGTTGTGGGGAGCCTTAAAGACTGGCTGAACTGAGAAAAATTAAGAACTGAAAAGTGATGTCAAGTGACCCAAGGGCATCAGAGAGTGAAGCCTCTGGGTCCCCGCCCACAGGGCCTGGCTCAGGGCTTTTGTGTTTGGGGGGCGAGGCCTTTGGCCTTCATTCCATCCTGCTCTCGGTTCAAAGGCAGCTACCTGAGCACCAGCTCCGAGAGAGGTGTTCGTAGCTCTCGGGTTTCCCACCTTCTCCAGTCGCTTCCGTGTCCGGCACACGGTAAGATTTGATTGCTAGTACAGTGACGTGCATGGCGTTGGCTCCCTCAGAACCCGAGTTTAGTGCTATTAACCCTTTCTCTGGCCTGGGCCTCTCCACCACACTGCCTTAAACAACTGTACTTGCAGTTTACAAAGCACACACTGGTTGAGATTAGAAGCCACTGAGCCTCTCACTCTGGCTTTTAGCATTTTCTTTATTCACTCACTTTTCACGTACTTATTAGGAAACACTGCATGTCAGGTGCTGCACAAGTGAGCTATGGAGAAAAAATTCCAGCCTTCACTGACCTGCCAGAGGGGAACACAGCAGAGCTGTAGACGGGGAGCCGGGCTTACCTGTCCGCACAACGCTGCACCTAACGTGTTATTATCCCACAGAGGGGAGCTGGCCTGACACTCCCCCTGACTCCAAATGGAGAAGCTGAGAACAGCCAGTCACAGAAGGCGGAGGAAGAGGATTGCTGGAAGTTCAAGGCTAGCCTGGCCTCTATGTGGGGTTTGAGGACAGCGGGACTATAATGCAAAAAACAAACAAGCAGAACTGGAGAGGCGGCTCAGTGGTTAAGAGCACTGACTGATCTTCTAGAGGACTTGGGTTTGATTTCCAGCACCCACATGGGGGCTCACAGTTATCTGTAACTCCAGTTCCAGGGGACCGGACACTCTCTCCTGGGCTCCAGGGATACTAGGCTCATATGCAGGCAAAACATCCATAAAAATAAAATATATATTTAAAAAAAACAAGCAAACAAAGCCCGAATCAGGAAAACAAACAATACTCCTAGGCACACATAATGATTCTCGGTGCCCTTGATACACATGTGTGACACCTGTAGAATTCCACTGCGGACCATGGGCCAACTTCAAGAGGAGACAGAAACCTCCGTCCAGTGTTAGGACATGGGGACAGCTCTGTCTCAGACGTGTTGCACACAGGAAAGCACACTGGAGCTGCTTGATCCGGGAGGGGACACAGAGGCAGAGGTGTGGATATAAAATATAAATAAATGTTCTAGACAGGCAGCAAGCTGACAGTGAGAAGTGAGGGGCTGGGAATTGATCTGGGAAAGAGCGGAGAGGAGATGTGGTCCCAGAAGCATCTGGAAGGGTCAACAGGAAACAGACAACTTCTTTTTTTTTTTTTTTTTTTTTTTTGGTTTTTTTGAGACAGGGTTTCTCTGTGTAGCTTTGCGCCTTTCCTGGAACTCGCTTTGGAGACCAGGCTGGCCTCGAACTCACAGAGATCCGCCTGGCTCTGCCTCCCGAGTGCTGGGATTAAAGGCGTGCGCCACCACCGCCCGGCTGACAACTTCTTAAGAAAGGAGCTTAAGTCCAGAGTTGAGGCTGGCTTCCAGCACGCACGTGACCTCTAAGGCGGGTGGGCGCCTTGCTCCATTTGATGCCCTACTGTTCTCTCCTTGAAAGGGTTGACTTCTAATAAAGTTCTCCAAATTTGTCTTTTGCACTGAGCCCAGCAAATAATACCATGGGTCCTGCTGGAGGCTTGACCCAGCTGCATGTGTGGGGGGATTGAGGGTGGGGAGCACTCCTGGGGGTGCACGGTTAGGGTTTGAAGGTGTGTCTGAACACTTGGTTCTCAGCCGGTGAAACTGTTTTGGGAGGGTGTGGAACTTTGAGTGGGCGGGGCCTAGCTGAGAGAAGTAGGTTGCTGGTGGACAGGCTCTGAGGTTCATAGCTCCCAGGATGCATGAGGACAGGCAAGGGCCTGGGATAGATCAGGCTAGAGCCAGGCCACGACAGCTGTGCTTGCAAAGGAATTGGGACTCCATCCCCTTGGGCAGAGGCCAGGAAATCTGCTCTGCCTCGTGTTTTATACTAATAAAAACGGTCTTTTATAATTTTGGAAGAGTGGGGTGGGCTGGGTGTGGGGGGAGCCAAGGGAACAACAATATATTATGACCAATGAAAATCATTAGCCATAAATCAGCAGTGGCTACTTCCACACTATGATGGCTGAGCTGAATATATTGGACAGAGATGGAATGGACCACCAGTTGAGGAAAAAGGTTTTCTGCCTTCTAGAACAGACTAGTATGTGCCCAACTGGGTTCCTGAGAGACTCCACAGCCAGGTCAAGTTGGGGGACGTGGGCCGAGTGAACACTCAGTAGCTTTCTGTCCGGTCTGGAACGGCTTTCTTGCCCTCTAGAAAGCACAATGGCCAGGAATGAGCAGTGCCTTCCTGACTTGCCTGAGCTCTGGACCTATTTCCAAGGAACAGCTGTAAACGCTTTGCCGGCAGCATCCTCCGGAGTTGTCTGGCATCCTCCGGAGTTGTCTGGAACCCAGCGCGATCATCATTCTTGGAGGCACAGAGGTCCTCTGAAGGATTCTGAACAAGGGGTGATGCTATCGGGTGTATTCCCTTCTGCGCCTTTTAATGCTCTAGGGACGCAGAATACGAACATTTCTCATGGTCCTCGGGATTGGAGGGGTAGGGTGTCTGCTCACAGCACCAGTGACTAGGAGCTTGGCATCTCCAGACTCTGCTGATGGTTCCCAAGGTCTTGTCTTGAAACCCTGCAACCCCCTGAAGGGCTGAGGAAAAATCTAAAGGGAGCAAGGCAGGGGTGAGGCAAGAGGTGGCAAAGGCTTTGGGAGTGGCAGAAAAGGAGGACACAGACTCCATCCCTCCCAGGGAGCTCCAGAGGGCTTGGTGATGGAAAATGTGACAGGGACCGGGATACAGTGGCGTCTGCCCTGAGGCCTCTGGTTTGGATAACTGGGGTGTGGGGGGGGCGGAGGTGGTCACCACTTCTAGATTCAAACCTGCCTTCCACACTAAGTGTACCTTTGAGGATAACCACACAACACTCGGCCTCTTTCCTAATCTCAACCCAGGAATTCCAAGTCATCACACCCAAGCCCCACCCACGGGGTGTCGGCTACAAATGACTTCACACCCAGGGAGAGGCACACCCTGGGTCTCCAGGCTCAGATGGCTTTGGGGCCTCAGTGACCCAACAAAGCACCTTTTCTAGACAATAGAGAGTATGGCATCTGCAGAAATGACAGGGATCCCGGGGTGGGGCAGTCCCAGTCATTTTTAAAAACTGATGTGTGCTTTTTAAATGACAATGACTTCTGACTGTCATTAGTTTCTGAGTGTAGACACAGAAGCCAGAGATATGGGCCACGGCCAAAGAGACCGGGTAAAGAGCTGGAATGAAGACCCACCTCAGTGCGGGGGGGGGGGGGGGGGGGGGGGGGGGGGGGGGGGGGGGGGGGGGGCTGGCTTCCGGCCAGGGACTGGAGGTGCTGTGGCCTTCAAGCCAGGGCCAGGACCCACAGCAGGGAGGGGGGAAAGCATTGAGGACAAGGACAGTGGGAAGGCTTCGCTCCCTGGTCCCCTTCACACCAACAGGGACAAGTGAGCAAGCAGTGAACTCAGGTACAGACAAGTTCATCTGTAAGAGACCTTGCGTCCGGAGTCCCTTCTCATCTCGGCAAGCCATTTCCTCCGGCAGTTGCCATCCCTTCTGCTCCCATTGTCCTGACACTGGATCCAAGAAGCAGAGTGACAGACCGAGTCCTCGGGAAGACTATACTTTCGGGATCATTTCTATACGTTAGTCTCAAGTTCCCCAGGGGATGCTCTCGTGAGATCTGCTGTTCAGCTAAAACCAGAAACCACGCTGTCACTGCCTTGATGGTTGTCCTGGCCACTCATGGAAGGCAGAATCAAGCCGGGGCCGCTGTCCATGTTCCCAGGACCTGCACGGCCCTCCAGCTCCAGCTTCCCCACCTTCCCATGCTGGCCATCTTCTGCTCCTGCGCTCACTCCTGGATCGGGCCTTTCGGCCCGCCTGTCCTTTCAACGTGGACACTCTGACCACAGGTTGTCCATTCAAGGCCCCTTAACAAGGCCCCTGAGCTAGAGGACAGGAGAGTCACCCGCCACCCTGTTACGTTCTTTATCCTCTTCACAGCCTGTGAGAATCCCTCACTCGTTTGTTCTAACATCGTTTCTCTACCCGCCCTAACTGGAGGTTCTCTGAGGACAGGACTCGCTGGTCTCGAATGGTACCCTGCACTCGGAAAGGGGCTCAACAAGAAACAGACTGTATCGGAACAGACACACGAAGTGGGAGAGCAAGCTGCCAACTACCTGATCTACTTGGTTACGGCATCATGGTGTGACGCACGCTCCCCCACTTCCTCATACGTTTTTCCTCTTCCTCCATAACCATCACCCAATGGGGGAGTACGTGAAGTGAGTTGGGGTACATGTGACCTGCTGATCCTACCCCAGGCTATGTGGACACCACTGAGCTCCCATCGTTCTGCTACGGAAGACGTAGCACCACCACATCTGGGTTTTCACGAGAAGCCATAAATCTGGCTCCTACTGTGAGATCCTGCTACCATTTAAAGGTCGGCAGTGATCTAAAAGAAGAGCTCGCAAGTCAAACAAGATGCTCAGATGGAGGTGTGCAGCCCAGTGGATGCTTTGGACCACCCGAGTCACAGTGTTCCAACTCCTCTTCATCCATCCCTCATGAGGAAGGCCCAGGTCAATCAGCTTCTGCTAAAACAGCTTTCTACACCAGTGAGCACGAACAGGAAGAAACATTGCAGTAGGGCTCCAACACACTCAACAACTGGAGTCTTGACCCAGTGCTCAGCCTGCATGCTCCAGATCCCGAGAGCTCAGCCTGCATGCTCCAGATCCCGAGAGCTCAGCCTGCATGCTCCAGATCCCGAGAGCTCAGCCTGCATGCTCCAGATCCTGAGCGTTCTCATTACCTGTGTTCTACATCACTGTTTTCCAACGTTACTGTTACCCACCAAATTTCTTGCCATCATTCCTTCTGCCCCTGAGCCCTCAGTGTGCCTGGGTAGAGTTTGATCCACCTGTTACACTTCTCACGAGGTGGCATCTCTATCCCCCACTTGTGGGTCTAGGTACACGGCCAGTACTTGTACAGCAAGGATAAAAGTCCCATTCGACTTCCGCTCCCATATTCACAAGGATCGAAAGCTTTAAAGCTGGGGTTGGTGTGCATTATGAGACTCACAATTCTCTTTCATTTCTTTAAAATATTTTTTTTTTATATTTTGGTTTATTTATTGTATGTGTGCATACTCACGCAAGGGGTCAGGGCACAGGTCTGGAGGTCAGAGAACAACTCTCAGGAGTCGGTTCTCTCCTTCCACCCCTCAGGTTTCCGGGGCCAGACTCAGGCTGGGTAGGAGATGCCCTTACCCACTGAGCCACTTCAGTGGCCCAATTATCAGTCATTTCTCATGAAATTAACAACTTTTTAAAAACTCTACTAGGCCAGGTGGTAGTGGCAGCGCACACCTTTAATCCCAATACTTGGGAGGCAGAGTCAGGCAGATCTCTGTGAGTTCGAGGCCAGCCTGGTCTACAGAGTGAGATCCAGGACAGGGCTCCATAGCTACACAGAGAAACCTTGTCTTAAAACCCCATCCCAAAACAACAACAACAACAAAAACTCCCACAAAAACAAAACAAAAAACCCTCTACCCTAAAAATTATTTCTTTCTGATATGTGAGCCACGAATTTTCTTTTCTTACAGAGTAATGCTCCCCCCCCCCAGTGGTGACATTTAGATATTCTTTATAAACAATTGGAAAGAAGTACATAAACAATTTTCTTAGCTACTGTTTGGCTGATATTAACAAGGTCTAAGTTTATGTAAGAACCATCTAAGGGCAGGAAAAACTACATAAAAAAAATAGCTTGTGTGTGCAAATTCAGGAAGTATGCCTGTCTGGGTCTGCAGGATGTTACAGGGCCTTACAGGGGGCAGCAGCAGGAGATCTGTCAGGCAGAAGGGTTCCCTGGGACGCAGCCCTGTAGAAGCGCGAACGCCCACCACTTATCCTTCTTATCTTCACAGGGTCCAGGGGAGGTTTAGGGAGGGACGCACAGGCATCCTCCTCCGCGGTGGGAGATGCTGGAGCTCTGGGTTTCTGCAAAGAGATTTTTGAATGATTGGCATGAGTCTCTGTTTCTCAAATAAGGCTTACCACCACCACCCTGGAGCTGGCTCTACCCCTGCAGGGGCCTGAGCTCGACTTCACCATAGCCTCTGGGTCTACCATCTCGTTGGCCCATCCTAATTAACATCATATGTACACACACACACACACACACACACACACACAAACACACACACACACACACACGCACTTAATACATGCACACACACGCACTTAATACATGCACACATACACACACATATACATGCATATATACATACATTCACGCACATATACACACACACAGACATGCACACACACATATGTACACACATAAACAGACACACATTCAGACACACACTTTATGGTTTTATCAGTGTATCCTATGAGCTGTTTTGCTACACAGCTTAGCGTATACGATTTATAAAATCCAAGTTATCTGTGCAAGAGACTGTAATGGTAAATATGATGTATTCAGCAGGCTTTGTAGTGTACTGTGTAAAGAGTCTTTTTCTGCCCTGCCAGTCAGCTCCCAAATAATGACGGGGACTTCTTACCAATTATGAAGGCACTACCGATAGCTTTTTAGGCTTGTTCCTAACTAGCTCTTATAACTTGTTTATATTAATCTACGTTCTATCACGTGGCATTATCCCTTGCACCTCCTGTCTCCTCTCCGTGTCTCCTGGCTCCTCCTGTGTGCCTAGATTCCTCTCTCTCCCTGGAAGTCCCACCTATACCTCCAGCCTAGCTATTGACCATTCAGCTTTTTACTACACCAATCACAGCAAACACATCTTCACATGGTGTACAAATATCCCAGAACAGGGTTGTGCTCAGTTTAGTTCAGAAAACATTTGTTGGACTACATGTGGAGACTCAGGTCTGTTACCTAGCACTTGGGAGGCTGCAGCGGAGGATTCAAGTCTGGGGCCAGTCTGAGCTACAGAGAAAGATCCCTTTCATAAAACAAAACAAAACAAAAAAGAAACACACTTATTGGGTACTGATGTGTTCTTTAAGCCCTGGAACACATCCTGGACTCCACAAAAGCATTTTGTAAGGACACCTAAAATTTAGATTCACTCAGATTAAAGAATGGCAAAGCATAAAAGTAAGAGTTTATATTGTACTTATTATATAAAAATGCTTACTTTTAGGTCTCAAGAATTCTGATGCAGACACCCTCCAGAAAATAACAGTAATGGCAAAATTCCCATTCCTTTAAGGAGTTTGTGTGTGTGTGTGTGTGTGTGTGTGTGTGTGTGTGTGTGTGTGTGTGTGTGAGAGAGAGAGAGAGAGAGAGAGAGAGAGAGAGAGAGTCCAGAGGTTTTTCTCAAGATGTCGTCCTCAATCAGTCCTCCACATGACTTTTGAGACGGGTCTCTCACTGACCCTAGCACTCAGTCTGCCTAGACTGGCTGTTCAGTAAGCCCTGGAGATCTGCCCATCTCTGCCCCGCAGTGCCGGGCTACAAGCAGGGGATGCCAAGCCTGGCTTTTACATGGCTGTTGGGGGTCTGGACGCAGGCCTTCACACTTGTCCAGCAGCGTCTTACCCACTGAGCCATCTTCCCGGCCCTTTTTTATTTTATTAATTTTTTGAAACAGCGTTTCACAAACTCTCCTTCTCCCTCCATGGGCCATGTGCTGGGGTTACAGGCACGAGTACCCCCTCCCCCACACATACACACACACACTTCTTTTTAAATATCTTTAAGATATGCCTTTTCCAAGCTCTCCATAGGTCTGTAGCGTCCACCCAAAGCCAGACAGTCCCAGGGTCAGTGTATCCCTGATTCCAACATTATCTGCCCAGGAAGAGCAGCCCCGCAGCAGCAAGTACCTCTAAAACTCCAGTCAGACACCGAAGGGAGACGGGTCAGTCGCTTCTGTGAGACACGAAAGAAGGACTTCGATCCAAGGGTTGATCATCAAATCTTTTAAAAATCCAGTGGGAAATCCTTATCAGATCATTTCTGGGGGTGATGGTTGAGGTCACCTATTACACACATCCTCTCAAATGCTCATGCGTACAGAGCACAGGCATCTGTATTTGAGTCCTGCTCATTACGTACTTCAAATGAAGCCGGGCAGTGGTGCCTCTCACCTTTGGTCCCAGCACTCAGGAGGCAGAGGCAGGTGGCTCTCTGTGAGTTTGAAGCCAGTCTGGTTTACAGAGTGAGTTCCAGGACAGTCAGGGCTACACAGAGAAACCCTGTCTCAAAAAGCAAGCAAACAAACAAAACAAATAAATTTTTAAAAATCAAAATGATATTCTTCAAAATATTTTCTATTTCCTCTTGTTCCTTTACATCCAGAATCAGTTTATAAACCAGAACAAAATAAAAATGAGTCTAATGATTTAAGAAAAAGGCAGTCTTTGAAAGGCATGGAGGAAGGGTACATAAGGTATTCAGCATGGTTGATAGGGGGTGAGCCAGGGAATAGCGAGTCTTTACTGGCTTTGAGAACTGGAAGGCCATGATTTCCGAGTTTGTTCAGCTGTGATTTGGAGAGAGCGGACCCTTCTCAGCTTCTGAACAGGAGCTCATTAATGCTCCCCCTTCCTTGTGTACACTGCTCATGCCTGTTACCACACTGGCTCCCATTTGCTTTTAATTATTCCCCAGAGTCAAGGCCTCTGGTCTCGCCTCAGTAAAGACTCGAGTTCTGAGGGGTCTATTCTGAGGCATCCACACTCATTATCTGCACCAAAAGTGGCATATTTGTTCAGGGCATTGCCCCTTTATGCTTTAATCTCACCAAGTTTATTTTATTTTTTCCTTTATCGAGACAGGGTTTCTCCGTGTAGCTTTTGGAGCCTATCCTGGAACTCACTTTGTAGACCAGGCTGGCCTCGAACTCACAGAAATTCACCTGCCTCTACCTCCTGAGTGTGGGGATTAAAGGTGTATGCCACCACCGCCTGGACTAATCTCACCAATTTATTGCAAAATAATACTAAGAGTGTGACTTTTGCAGGAAGCTGGTAGTATCAGAAGAGTAAGGAAATGAACATAGGAAAATGAACATATATAATAATGAAAGTCAAAAGGTGTAAGTATCACTCAATGCTGAAGGGCAGCACAGTCTTCTTGTGTCAAAACACCTGTACTCTGGAGGTGTGGCCAACCTGCCTGCTGAGTTCAGTGGACTGAAAAGCACCTGGATGAACAGGCACTCCCCTAGGTGTGCCTGTGAGGCTGGAGGACCTGTCCTGAATGTGGGTGGCACCACCCCACAAGCCAGGGGCCTCGGAAAGAATTAAAAGGGGGAGGGGCGAGGCTAGCACAGGCGGTCTCCTCAGTCTCCTGTGGGCCATGAAGAGAGTGCTTCCCTCTGCCATGTACTTCCTGTCGGGATGTTCTGCTTCAGCCTGGCCCAGAAGCAGCAGAGCCCAGTGACTATGGACCGAGAGCTCGGAAACTGTGAGCTAAAAGACATTCTTCTCTTCAGCTGTGTTGCTCGGGGATAACCGACTAACCCTTGAAGCTCAAACCGGCTGCTAGGGATTTTTTAAAGAGTCTGAGAAAGTCTCTAAATCCAAAAGGTAATTGTTTCCGTCTTTACAAACACTTTCAGCAAATATGCTCCTTGGCTGCGGGGTACGCCCTTTCTCCTCCCCGCTCTCTCCAAAAGTTTCCTCTTCCCACCACTCTGAATCTCAGTGTGCTCCTTTTCTTGTCAACTGAGTCCTTGCTACAGGCAACGCTTCCTTTAAACAGGTGTGGCGACACAGAGGAAAGAAGGTGGCGGGCGGGGAGCGCAAGGCCATCTCAAGATGCCTTGACTGGCAACTTCAAATTTTCATGACTGTTTAAGCTGAAAGATGACCTTTATATAACCTATACATTTCACACTTTAACTTAATGTGGAAATTCCTTAGACTATTTTTCCTTTGAACATAATACTCAATCATTCTGCAGTAGAGAAATGGAATTTCACAGACCCAGAGCAGAGTCAGAAACCCAATCTCATCTAATCGAACCTCATCCTGTAGTCCTATAACAGAGCAGTGTAACCAGGGCCATGCTCAAGAGACTTTTAGCTGCAAGTATACCCAAAGTGAGTGACTTCTCCACGTCAACAGTACTATGCTCGGCTACCTTCCAAGACCGCAGGTATCAGAGCCGTGTGTCAACAGCAGCTAGCAGATTATTCTGAGGCCTTGTTCTGTCTTCTGCAATATAAAAAAACTATGGTCTTCCTCAGGGCTATTCTGATTAGTATTTTAAAAATTCAAGGCACAGTTTGAGACAAGTGGGGTCACTTGGAGATGGGCTGGTGATAGAACTGAGGAATGTTGGGTTTTCTGAGCTGTGGCAACAGTTCACGGCTATAGAGGGGACTGTCTATGGTTCCCATGACATGCACACTCAGGTGCATTTTTATGGGTGAAGTATGATGCCTGCGCCTTACTTTCCGATAGTTCATCAAAACAAATATACCCACAAGTAGACACAAGCACGCACATACACGCATGCGTGCACACATTCATGGGGTAATAACAATTGAGAAGCAATGTGACTAAGGCCCCATCTCCATGGAAGCCTATGAAGCCGGCAGAGGTGTGTGGGGAAGGTGACTGGAAGACGGGATTGGTTGAGGTTCTCTGTAAAAACCTGCCCCTCCCTTCCCCTCCCCGGCCCCTCCAATGCTGTCAGGCATCCAGGAGGCATGCTTACTGTTTAGAGAGGGTGAAATATGGCCTCTCCAACTGGGTCAGTAAGCAAGGGTCCCCTCTAATAGGCCCTAATTGATAAGTATCAGGTACTATAAACTGAGTTTTCCTTTCTTGTGCATGTATTTTTGAAGCACTGTCTATGTTGAATAGGCTAGTCTCCAATGTGCCATGTAGCCCAGGCTGGCATGAACTTAGAAGAAGCCTCCTGCTTTTACCTCCCAAACCCTGGGATTCCAGGACTGGACCGCCATGTCCCACCGCCACGGCTATTAACTGAGTATTGATGTACTAAATGCTAAGCGTCCCTACCTTACTTCTTCCCTGGCCTCTGAGAGTCAACAACCAGACTTTGCCATCTGGCACAGAGCCTGGAGAAGGGCCGGGCCCTAAAGATAATGCCTTCAGGACTGTCAGCAACAACACGGCCCAGCCAGATGGCCTAAGGGGTGGGTTGGCTAATATACCTATAGACCAAATTCCAGCCATATGCCAAAAGCAGCATCAGGCACCAGAAGGGTCTCTAATGTGAAAGCCAGAAACCAAAACAAACCCAACCCTGCAACAGGGGCTATCCAGGGAGAGCTGAGCTGAAAATCACCAAACTGTAAAGTTCTGCACCCACGAAACAAGAACATCTATTACCTAAAACTACAAATTAAAGGCTGCGGGATGAGAGCTTTGGGGAATTAAAGATAGGAAAACAGAAATGAAAAGAACCCAATAAGTGGGTTAGAAACCACCAGCCACGCGGCACCATGAGGCCCGGAGGCACGGAGGACAGCTACAGCTCCACCCCAGGACACGTGCCCTGGGCGGGCATCAATCAACCACAAGCCTGCCCACAACAGGTGGTCAGGTACCATTACGGTGATGAGTATATGGTGGGAGAATGGGAGAGAGAGAGAGAGAGAGGCAGAAAGGTTTATGTTCTGGGAAGAGAGGCGGATCTGAAGAGTTGAGGGCAGAGAGGAACCGGCTGACATGGGTAGCCTGCTTGCCAACCAGAGCCATGGTGATGTCCCAGCCTGGGCTGATGCTGAGGGCCATGTCTGGGTCTGTGGCTCTGATGCAGCCGTGGTGGTCTGTGTTGCTGCCTGTGACTCCTGTTACCAAGGGCCCTGCAGATCCCCAGAGGCTGGGCCACCATCTGTGACCATGCTGGTGTCCAAAGGATGTGCCCCCACAGGGCCTGCGCTGCCCAGACTGCTGCCAAGGGCTACATCTGGGTCCGTGGTCCTGTGGCAGCTGTGGTCTGTGTTGAAGTCCGTGGCTCCTGGTACGACCGAAGACAATAAGGATAGGGCTGCACAGAGTTGGCTCTGCCCCTCACTGGCTGAGAACTGGCCCGTCGCCCACCAACTACAGCACTCGGGAGAACGGGCCCTGCACCTCACCCAGGCAAAGCACTAGAGCTGACCCTGTTGGCAGGGGTACAGGTGAGATGGTCCTGAGGGCACGAGAGCAGGGAAGCTGACACTGGCCCCCTTGTCTGCCATGTGGTGGCATGGGTGAGGGAAAGATGCCTCTCCCCACCCTCCTACCCCTACCCCTTGCCACCTGCGGCAGGCAGGAGAGCTGGCCTCGGGGCCACGAGAACGGGTGAGCTGGTTCTGCACCTCACTAACTGCAGCACTCAGGAGAGAGGGCCCTGCACCTTACCTGGGCAAGACAGCAGAGCTGGCCCTAGTGGTGAGGGTGCAGGTGACCTGGACCTGCCCCTTACAGCCTGCTACAGTGGGTGACTAGCAGGGGCAATGTTGGAGAGCTCACCCCGGTGGTGTCGGTGAGGGAAAGCTGGCAGGCTGACCAACCCAGCTACCACCCAGGCCCAGAACTAGTCTATGAGCTGGCCCACCCCAACATCCACCTCATCTA